AAAAGTTGTACTATAGCTGGCCAGGAATTCTTGAAATGTTGAGGTACGTTTTCGGGATTTGTTCCACGTATGTGAAATTGAATTTCTTATTCATTTGCTGATCATATTCCTCGCCTAATTTCTTAAGGTCTGTTGCGGATGCATCAGAGAAGGATGTGGCAACCCTTGGGTTCCAGGTTAGTAAAGGATGGTTGCCCTGGGTTCGATAAAAGTTAGGGGCATTGTATGACCTTAGTCCATCGCTTACTGATGCTCTTGTGAATGATACCTTGTATGTTCTTCCCAGAGTCTCCGGGTTATTATGAGTGATGGACTTCCCACTCTTCCGGAAGACTGTCTCCATGTGTAAGATCTTCTTTCAGTCTTAATTACTATGTTTCTTATTTTACTTGTTGATACGGGAATGGTAGTTAATGATGTTAAAATATCAGGTGCATAGACGTTACTGGAGCTTACAGCGCACAGAAGACTGATTTGAATATAAGTTTGACAGCCATTGGTTTGTTGTGGACTTTGACTGATTTCGTGGCAAAGGGGCTCCACCATGGGTCTCTAGTGGAAAAGGGATCGGGTAAGTATGCAATTATCACCTGAAGAGAAACAATATATATATATATATATATATATATATATGTGGATTTAGTAAGCTGTGCTATTCCTGCAGAATCCAATAGTGTTGATCCGACTCCACCGCAAACAAATGGTGAGGACAAGGAAAAGGATACAATTAGCAATTTCAACAAGCCAGATGATGATTCTCGAATACAAGTAGTCAATCATGAGAAATTGTTGTTTTTAGTCTTTTCGTTAATTCAGAAACTCGTGGATGACGAGCGACCAGAGGTAATCGTCACAAACAACCATTTTCTTTTTTAGTGTTCTTTTTTTTTTTAACTTTGTAAGTTGGTGCCAATCGATCTTATTTTCTCATTGCTGCTAAAATTTCCAGGTAAGGAATTCAGCTGTCAGGACGTTTTTTCAGATTTTGGGAAGTCATGGGAACAAACTTTCAAAAAGCATGTGGGAGGATTGTCTGTGGAACTATATCTTTCCCATGTTGGATGGCGCCTCTCATAAGGTGAGGACAGTGATTCAGTACATTCATTTTAAGAGACTCTTGTGACAGGTGAATCTTCTTTTTTAGGCTGCAACATCATCAAAGGACGAATGGCAAGGAAAAGAAATAGGTACTCGGGGAGGGAAAGCAGTGCACATGCTTATACATCATAGGTGACAAAAGGAATTCTCTATGCGTGGAAGTTTTTTGCATTGTCCATCTCGATCTGATAGACTTTAATACCTGAATAACTTATTTGCTTCAATATTTTTACCACTCTTCCTACCATATAACCTTGCCGTCTACTTTCTGGTTTGCAGTCGCAATACAGCCCAGAAGCAATGGGATGAAACATTTGTGCTCGTCCTTGGAGGAATAGCCCGCCTCTTCCGATCCTACTTTCCTCTTCTTGAAAGCTTACCTAATTTCTGGTCAGGTGAGTGAACTGTGATTTGCTTGGACTGCAATCCTTACGGTTTAGGAAAATCTGAAAAATCGTGGAACTTCTATGTATGTAGGGTGGGAGTCTTTGCTTGCTTTTGTTAAGAATAGCATTTTCAATGGAAGTAAAGAAGTTTCACTTGCAGCGATAAATTGTCTACAGACAGCTGTTGTGTCCCATTGTGTCAAGGTAACAGCACAGCTACATGAACTATCTACGAGCTACTATTGACTTTGCCATATCCATATTTCACTCTTTTTTTAACTTTCTTATGAATCAGGGAAACTTGCAACTCCGATATCTTAATTCGGTTATGGATGTGTATGAGCTTGTTTTCCAAAAGTCTTCGAGTTACACAGGTGACACAGCAACCAAGGTGAAACAAGAAATTCTGCATGGTTTAGGTAATTCATTCATTTTTTCTATGAATTCTCTACAAGTTAGAAGAGTCTTTTCTGTTGACTTAGATGAACACTTTCAATGAATAGAAATGAGATTTTCTCTGCTGTAACACTTGGATCTTACTCTTTCCTCTTTCACTCTGGTCCACTGTTTTGACAGGGGAATTATATGTGCAATCACAGAAGATGTTTGATGATAAAATGTACATGCAATTGTTGGGAATTGTAGATCTTGCTATAAAACAGGCCATAATAAGTAGCGAAAATTTCGAAGCCGAATTTGTAAGTCTGTTCTCCCATCATTTATGTTTTACGTTATTCCTCTTAAGTACTCAGTTTCAAAACTTGGCTTCCTGCGTCCACCTTATGCGTATTACATTTATGATTTCAAGGGACATGTCCCCCCTGTACTACGTCATGTTTTGGAGATCTTGCCTTCTTTGGGTCCTCCTGAGCACCTTTCATCAATGTGGCTGATCCTGCTAAGAGAGTTTTTGCATTATCTTCCACGGGTTGATTCTGCACTGCCAAATGAGGAAGGTGAGATTGAGCAGAGCACCACAGGTCACCGTGCAAGTAAGTACTTGATGTTATTTTACTCTTAACAATTGTTAATTTTGATATTCGATTATCATTTTACCCCAGGCAGTGAAGTATCGGAACATAAAGCTGATGGTTCTTCGGACAAAACAATTCCAACCACAAGAATTACGAGTAATATGTTTGCAGAAAAGCTGATCCCTGCTCTGGTGGAGCTTCTCCTTCAGGCTCCTGCAGTTGAAAAGTATATCCTGTTTCCAGAAGTCATCCAGAACCTGAGAAGGTAAACTTAACTCTCATTAGATGCCGTCATTGTGCAGGTGCCGTGGCTCTTCTCAGCTCAATGGTCTCATAACATAAGTTCAAAAGGGACGCATAGGGTTAATTGGTTAACCTGTTAGCTTGTATGGTCAACCCAAACCTCCCTTCCCTCTCCCAAGTTCCACATTCCTTCCTAGAATTGTAAAAAGAAAAGTTCCTGAATTTTTTTGTAGAGTCGTTGAGTTACCATGTGTTTATACTATGTCCAGTTGTATATGGGAAAGTGTGTGCAATCAACTTATCGAATCATTCTGTTTTTCAGGTGCATGATGACAAGACGAGACAATCCAGATGGCTCACTCTGGAAGGTAGCAGCTGAAGGCTTCAACCGTTTAATTGTTGAAGATGTGAAAATATGTTCAGTGGGTGGTGACTCAGACCTGAAAATTAGCAAAACTGCTCGAATACGCATTTGGAAAGAAATTGGAGATGTCTACGAGATATTCCTTGTTGGTTATTGTGGACGTGCACTTTCTTCAAGTTCTCTTCCTGCTGCAGCGCTTAAGGCCAATGAAACCCTTGAGATGGCCTTGTTAAACGGTCTTGGTGATATTATTCTTAAGTCGACCGTTGATGCACCCCGAGAAGTGAGCAGCTTGGATTTCAATGTAAACTGTTCTCTGTTATCCTAATGTCTTGATTTTTAATATGTCCATATCTTGAATCAATAGGTCCTGGAGCGGCTTGTTTCAACCCTAGACCGCTGTGCATCACGTACATGCTCATTGCCTGTTGAAACTGTCGAGCTGATGCCTGCCCACTGTAGCAGATTCTCCTTGACATGCTTACAAAAATTGTTTTCCTTGAGCAGGTAATCTCGCATTGAGCATGTCCAGGATCATTAGCCTATTCCTTTGCTTTCGTGCTTGCTTCTTCTGCAAAGACACTAGCATCTCGTACTAAATAATGAGTTTCTCCTCGACTTTAGTTGCATATTTTGCATCAAACACATATTAATAATAGGCATAATTATACGTAATTGTGTTATACATACCATAGAGAGAGAGAGAGAGTATTCATTCCTACTCCCACGTTTAACATACCGACATCAATAAAAACTTTAGTTTCAGCTCTGAAACGGAGAACTGGCACTCAACAAGAGCAGAAGTGAGCAGGATCTCTATCATCACGCTAATGGAAAGATGTGAATTCATTCTGAGTAGATTTTTAATCGACGAAAATAATCTAGGTAAGGGTTTCATTTTCTTATGAACCCTAAAGTGTTCTTTGCTTGCCAATCTCTTAATCTGTGGTTATCTTTTGGCAGGAAACCGTCCAATCCCAACAGCTAGACGTGAAGAGATTATCTTTGCCCTCCAAGAACTTGACCTCCTCACCATTCATCCCGAGGTTGCTTCGGTACTTCCATTGCAACCGCATATGAAAACCATCCTACGCGAAGATAACCGTGACACCCGTACACACCTACTTGTCCTTTTCCCCTCACTGTGCGAGATTGTTTTATCAAGGTAATATCACCACTTCAATTACATTTTCTTGTTTGATACACACCCTAATGGTGTTCTTGATATCTAAAAGTGTGACAAATTCTATGTATGGTCCCTAAAAAGTCGGAAATCAACCCATCGTTTTAGAAAGGGAGTAGAATCTGTTACTAAAAACATGCAAGACCCTATCAAATATTGATCCTGAGAGTTCGGCTTTTGGCAGGGAAACGCGGGTGAGAGAGCTGGTGCAAGTTTTATTACGAGCAGTTGCGACAGAGCTAGGTCTGGAAAAGGTTAGCCTATCTAGTTGATGGCAATGTTACTCGGAAGATTTGAGCTTCAAACTTTCTCTTACAGTAGATCCTTGGCCGTGCCTGCTTTATTAAAGTGTAAACAATGGCCTTCGGCCACATTTTGTAGAAATAATTAAGAGACTTTTTATCAAATATTTTTGTGCTAAATGCTTCAGATTTTGAAGTAATGTTTGGTTATAGTCTTATAGAGTCCAATTATATTTACGTCAACAGAAACATACATCAATGAACATGCTCTCATTTTTTCTTTTCTTTTTTACTCAACTATTTCATGAATACTTATAAAAAAATAACCTGATTTCACGTACAGTAGCTGATCGTTTACTTGTGTATTTCATTCTGTTCTTCTTGGATATTTATTGGACTAATGTAGCTTACGTCTATTAGAAATTGGTACAATCAAAATCAAAGATAAAAAAAAAAAACTTCAAAATCTTATATACATCAACAATATATACACACATATAATTTACTTTACAAGGTTGGCTTCTCTAAACCATTACGTAGTTCCCAAGAAAGGAGAATGGTATCACTTGGCCTGATTAATTCGAGCAGCTGCAGCAACAGAGGCGGCCACGCCGGTAGGGTAAGTAGTGAGATGTGGATCGTTCCTCATCTCTGCGCCTGTCACTCCCTCTGCGTCTTTCCTTGTTGCTGGTTTGTCCGATGGTAATTTGCTACTCGCTCCCTTTCAAAACCATTCGTCCACACAAAAAAAGGTCAAAACATAATACCAATATTGTTACTAGTCAGGTCACTACTTGCAAACAAAAGAATACATGTATCAACGTTTTCAAGGAAAGACCAGCATTGGAATGTAGCATTTACTCACAGTGAGAACCTCGGCGAGCGTTGTCTTGTCGTCGTCTGAGGTGGCTCGAGCGTTAAGAGTAGCAGCTGACTGAGCCGACGCGGCAACACCGCCGGGCATGATGTTGGTCCGTCCGGTGGCTCTAACCTCAGCCGCTTGAATAGCAGCTGCGTCACTCCACTCCACCGGCTTATTCCCCGCCGTGAGAACCGCCGCCTCTAGAGCCTCTCCGATCGTTATGCATCCTTCCGATGCCGGAGGATTGCCTACCACCTTTTTCTGGTTTAGTTCTCCCTCCGCCTACAAATTTATAGTTATATATGGTTCTATTTACTCTGATTACATAAATACACCATGTTTTTGACTTTTGATAGTCATACATATATGTTGAATATAACACGTATAATCATCAGATTATATATATATATATATGGACCTGTCCACCGGAGACCTCGGCGACAACACCTTTGTCTTTGACCTCCGCCGCGTTAATGCCTCCCTCCGTCGCCGGAATCTTTTCAGCACCTTCTTTCACGTCATAAGTTTTAGGTTTCTCCAGCTGTTCTTCGCTCATTTCTTTTTTTTTTAATTCAACCTAAATTTCTCTCTTTTCTTTTTATTCTACACAATCTATATATATTTGTAATGTTCGGTAAGTTATATAGTCTTTGCACGAGCCGTTCATTTCTGGAATCCTCTTACTTAATAACAACAAGGGTTCTCCTCGACTTTCTCCCTCCTAATTTAGCCAAATAGAAAAACTTTCATAATATTCGGTTCGGTTTTAACTTAACCATTCTATTTCGATTGAACCGAATATATCCTCCGATTACGTTTCGCTCGGACAACAAAAGACAAACCCCGACAATCAGTTAACCAGTTACACTATCCGGTTTAGTTTACTCGATCAAATCGGTTCGGGTCTTAATTAGGGTTCCAAAGTTGTCAGCTTCACTTGGTTCTTCTTTCATCTCACACCTCTGATTCAGAAAATCGTGAAAAAAAAACATCCTCGAGCTCGTCTCCTTTTTTCTCCGTATCGCCGACAATACTCCGTTGCTGTTTCCGTCTCAAAGGTTTTCTTTTCTTTCTCTCCCTCTCTGTTTCATATATCAAAGGTTTTCAATTGAATATAGTGCTTGCTCTCTGATGCTCTTCTCGTCTCTGAATTTTTCACTCGTCGGAAAACTCTGGAATCTCTCCAAAAGGAAAAATCAAATCTTTATGTTTAGAATTTTTCTTGGTTAGCTCAGTGACAACCCATAGCTGAGCAAACATTCAAAATCGGTAATTATCAAAGTGTTTTTGTTTGATCAGTAGAAAGAAGAAGGAGGAGGAAGGGGATCAATGGAATCGAGACCCAGTGGACCTGTGGTGTTGACGGCGGAGGAGGAAGCTGTTCTGAACGAAGGAATCGGTTTGATACTTTCACGGTGGACCGCCATGCGAGCCGCTGTCGATAACGGCTGGGGCGGCCGAGATTCTCATGAGAAAGCCGAGCGCACCGTTTCCAATGTTCTTGATTATTTCATCCATCTAAAAGGTGAATCTTTTATTTCCTCTGGTTCAAATGCAATTCATTGTTTGATCATTGATCCATAAACAAACTTGGTGTGGTTCCTGATTAGTTTCATGGGATTCTGAATTTTCGAATAAAGATGTTGGCTTTCTGATTCTGCTTCCTTCTTGTTGTATATTCCTTGTTTTCTTGTAGATCTATCGACGGACTTTGACGGATTAGCTGACATTCTAGAGAGTGGTCTTTCTGAGCTTAATACTGTGGCTGAGGATGGAAGCCTCGAAGAGGTATTACATTTTATTCTTGATTTTAAGGCTAGTTTCTTTTATTTTTTTTGGGAATACTGATAGTGTTTCTTTGGTGATGCAACTGAAGGTGACAGAGACGCTACTAGATTTGTATTATGAATGCCTCGAAGGCAACTTCCAAAGGGTTGAGAAACTGAGAGCGACTAGCTCTCAGACAAGTGCAACTGTTGTCAAGGTTTGTGTATTGTCAAGCAATTCTATCTGGTTTCCTTTCTTTCTATTGTTTGCATCTTAGGTTGAGTCACCAATCCTTAAGCTCATCCCAAGCCACATCTTGGCTGTAGTGAAAACACGCATGAGATGCGGATTAGATTCCATATATTTACACTAGTCTGTTTGATTTTCATTATTTATAGAGGTTTGGCCATTGTGAGGGTATTTTAAGTGTTATACATTGGTTTTGGTTCCTCCTATCTATCTAGGTGGGATTATTTCTGAGAGTTAGAATTGAGGCTCTCTTGGAATTGCAGGTTTCAAACGGTAACGATGAGGATGATGAGGGAAGCGATGATGAAGATGAGGATACACACCTGAACAATGATCAAAGCACAGACATGATGGTGGATGCTTCTGAACACTGCTCAAACCGGAAACCAGAAGCCATGCCAGTTGATGAGCCAAAAGCTGATGATGGGTGGACTGTAGTTCCATGTAGGAAAAACAAGGGCAAGAAAAATTAAATGGTTTAGGTTCCCAAGGTGTTTGTGTAATCTTCACAATTTTGGGTTGTTTTGAGTTTATAATAATAGATGGATAGTAGTATGAACTGTATGATTTATAGATTGCCACTTTCTAAACAAACTCAGAAAAATGAGTGTTCTTGTTCTTTCCCATATTACTCTGCTTCAGATTCTCATTCACTTGGAAGGATTCTCATGCAGACCAAAACATTCTACTTGACATGTATGCGGGAACATAGATCAAACCAAAAATGTTCAACAGAAAGCATCAACCAAAAGTCTTTGGATCATATAGATGTCTCTATTCATGTTCTTTATTCTGTTTTGATTCATAGGATGAAGAAAGAAAAAACATACACAAGCCAATCATGCTTGATGATATACTTCATCATCGAAAGTGAAACTGTTATAGATTTTACAATGACCAAGAGTAATCAAACCGTAATCTTGGTACAAATATCTCTTACCAAACCAAACCGAATCACAAATCGCCACTCATTCAATCTGTAAATTCTCTGCTTCATATCTAACAGAATCGAACAGTTTAGTAGATAAATAACGTTCTCCTCCGCTGGGAAAAACCACCTGCAAACCAGACGAGAACCGGGATATTTAATAAAACCAGTTTGATTTCGGTTTTAAAGTCAAAGCTTATGGTTAGTGAGAGACAGAGCTTTTACCGCAATGAGTTTCCCTGAGTTTTCTGGTCTCTTTGCAACCATTAACGCAGCCGCTGCTGCAGCTCCAGAGGATATTCCCACCTGCCACATGAGTGATCACACTTAACCACAATCTCCTGTTTTCCTAATTTCTGGTTTATAACAAGAAAACCCAATTGTACCAGTAATCCTTCTTTGAGAGCAAGAAGCTTGGCTGTTTCAATGGCTTCCTCACCAGTCACCTGAATCAATTTTGAATGCAGTTCTCAGAACAATGTTTCAAGATCGAGAAGTAGATAATCTCGGCTACTTACTTGAATGATTTCATCAACAACGCTTAACTCCAAATTGGTTGGGATGATACCAGAGCCAATTCCTTGGATCAAATGTGGACCTACAAATATTGAAACCAAGTATTACGTTTAGAGATAATCAAGAACTCAGATGAGTTTTATTGACTTCACCTGGTTCTCCTCCGCTGAGTACAGCACTTTCTGTAGGTTCCACCACACAAACCTATTTGATCAAGATTGTAACACAAATTACATTATAAAAAAAAAACGGATTCTTACGGTTGGTTTTTCAAGAAATAGTGAAAGTATATGAACCTTAATGTCTTTATTCATCTCCTTGAGGAACTTGCCTACTCCAGAAACAGTTCCACCAGTCCCAACACCAGCAACCAATATATCTACTTTCCCTGCTGTATCTCTCCATATCTCCGGACCCGTTGTTCTGTAATGAATCTGCAAACAAAACACAAAAAAGAAACAAATTTGGATTCAGCCAATATAAAAGAAAAAACAGAACACTCAGAATTTACACTGGTGGATGTATATAAGAACCTCTGGGTTTTCAGGGTTTATAAACTGGTGTGGTATGTAACCACCAGGAGTTTTGCTTAATATCTCTTCAGCTTTCTCCAACATTCCTTTAATGCCTATGTTCATATCTGTTAGATGAAGCTCTGCACCTAATGCTCTCAGAATGATTCTCCTCTCTAAGCTCATCGTTGAAGGCATCAAAAGTATTACTTTATAGCCTCTTGAAGCACCGATGCTGGCTAAACCAATCCCAGTGTTACCACCCGTTGCCTCAATCAATGTACTCTAATAAAAAATAAACAAGAAGTCAATTCCATAAAGTTGTAGACGATAAAAATAGAAAGATTCTATATATGGTTTTTAAAGCAACCTTTCCTGGAGTAATCAATCCTCTGTCTTCTGCATCTTTGATCATACTGTAAGCGATTCTGTCTTTGATGCTAGAGCAAGGCTCCATCATCTCAAGCTTGGCAGCGATACGGGCCACACACCATCCACAACTTTGATTCAGATACACA